CACAGATTTGAGCAATTCTGGTCCAAGTGCTCTAAATCACAAAAACTTGTTCACTCTACCTGGACTCAAGGCACTTTACAGAGAATCAATCAACATAAAAAATTTTCCTACCAATTGAAGACTAGCCTGATCAGTCTACACAATTGGAGCAGTAATCACTTTGGTAACCTTGACAAACTAGTAGCTAAACTTACAGCACAACTGTCATCCCTGCAATACAATGGGCATCTAATTTACAGAGTCAACTTCTTGGCTCTCAGCTTGAAGCAAAGAGACATGAATTAGAAGAGGCCTTAGAACATCAGTATGACTACTGACAACAAAGGTCTAAACTAATATGGCCTTTGTAGGGTAATCGAAATACAAAATTCTTCCACAAATGGGCTACACGAAGGAGAGGAAAAAAATGGAACAATGATTTATGCAATACAAAAGGCCACTGGATCCAAGAACCAGATCAAATTGAAGCATTATTACAAACTCACTTTGAAGGAGTTTACACTATGGATCCTACAACCTCACAACATTCCTTTTTTTTTTCCTTTTATGGATCAACTCATGCAGAATGTTCATGAGACTCTCACACCTAGACAAGCTGATCTGCTTGCTCAACCTTTCACTCCTTCAGAAGTATGAGATGATGTATAACAAATGTCTTCATGGAAAGCTCCGGGGCCTGATAATATGCCTGCTGGGTTCTACAAAATATATAGGCATATAATTGGTTAGGATGTTGAAAGGACCATTTTGGATGCAATTAACCAACAATGCTTCCCAATGGAATGGAATCAAACCAGTATGGTGCTCATTCCAATGGTTCCCAGTCAAGTTTCTCTCACAGACATTCGTCCTATAAGTCTTTGTAATGTTAAATATAAAATCATTACAAAAATAATCACCAACAGGCTGAAATCAATCATATCATACCTAATTGATGAGCATCAAAAGGGATTTTTCCCATGAAGAACCATTAGTGAGAATATTCTCCTTGCACATGAATTTATAAAATGCATCAAGAGAAAAGATGGTGACTTGGGGCTAGCTGTGCAATAAAATTGGATATGAGCGAATCATATGATCGTGTCTTCTGGACTTTCCTTGAAGCAGTATTCACAACAGTTGATTTTCTAACTAACATGATCAAACTAATTATGTTTTGTGTCTCCACAGTCTCATACTTTATACAATTAAATGGAGAAGGACTCCCCTATTTCATCCCAAAGCGAGAATGGAGAAGGACTCCCCTATTTTATCCCAAAGAGAGGTTTGAGACAGGGCTGTTCCCTTTCCCCTTATTATTTTATCTTATGCCAACAGGTCCTATCTTTAGTAATCAAGAATGAGATTCACACTTTTCTGGGGCTTGGGATTAGAATCAGCAGGAATGCTCCAAGAATCAGCCATTTAATGTATGTTGATGACAACCTCTCCTTCATTGAATCCAAGGAAACCTCAATTCAGGCACTTTCAAGTCTAATTTAGACATATGTTGCCTTTTCTGGACAGAAAATCAACTATCAAAAGTCTTCAATATTGATGAGTGCCAATACTTCTCCAGGTATTTAGCACCTCATTCATACCACCACCAACATACCTGAATGATGTTTTCAAAGGAAATATTTGGGTCTCTCTTTGGACTTCAAGGAAAAGAACAAAGTCATTTTCCAGGACTTCACAACCAGACTGACCAACAAGTTTGCAGACTGGAAGACAAAACTCTTCACCTTTGCTGAGAGAGTCACTCTAGCCAAATCCACATTGTCGGCTATGCTAGTTTACCCTATGAGGGTTTTTTAAACTCCTGGCTTCTACTCTACGTAAAGCTAAAAATATTATTAGTAACTTCATTTGGCAAGGAGACAACCAGGCTAAAGCGATTCATTGGCGGTCCTGGAAAAAATAAATGCAAATCATGTTTCATGGAGTGTTGGAACTAAAGGCCACTAAGATATCAATCAAGTGCTACTGGGAAAACATGTTTAGAAGATCATTTTCCAGCCGGAATCTCTTATATCCAGAGTATATCGGGCCAAATACAGTTCCACCAAAACCTTTTCCTGAGAATCAACCTCCAAATAATGCCACTTGGGATACAAGAGCATGTCTTGGGATTCTAGACTGTTAAAGGATAACACGAAGTGGAAGGTCATCTAAGGCAGGAACATACACATTGTAGATGACTGGATTCCGAATCATCAAAACCCTATCCTACGGGCTCTTTCCTAGCAACACATACTAATGTCATGATGAGTGATCTCATTAGACCAATTGGCCAATGGAAGATTTCATCCCTCAGAACCATGTTTCCTGATTATATAATTCCATATATCACTGGAATTTTTTCATTTATTCCTAGCTAGCTACAGAGAATGATGGGCTAAATTTGGTCGAATACTTCACATGGCAATTACACGGTACAATCAGGGTACCATATGGCTCCCCCAATAGCAACATGAAACTATGGCGTGGAAAAAGTTATGAAGCCCCAGGGTACAACCAAAATACAAATACCTCTTTTGGAGGGCTGCTCTTAATGCCCTACCAACCAAAGAAGGTTTACAGAGGTGTGGTGTACAAGAAGATCTGATGTGTCCGCGTTGCTTCATTCATATTGAGGATAACTTACATTTGTTCTTTCAGTGTCCAATTTCTCAAGCAATATGGATTTTTGCCCATCTTACTTTTCAGATAATTTTAGGCTGTGATTAACCATCACTGCTTGAATGGTTTGTTAAACGGGGTACAATCCTCTCCATTGATGGAAGACCTCGATTTATTCCTCATAATCTGTTGGAGAATTTGGCTAGAATGAAATGATAAAGTATTGCGTTCTCAGTGTAAAGATTCCCTCATATCCTGGAGGTTTATTTAGGAGGAGTTCAAGCAACACAAATTGGTAGCTTAATTAACAAAATCTATTCAGGTTTAGGATTCTTATAACTCACTGCCATCGAGATCTACAATCAATCATGCAACGATTGAGTTTGATGGATCCATGCATCCCATTACCAGAAGTGGAGCTGGAGCTTGGTGAATAACCTCTCCATCGGGGTTATTAATGTAGATTAAATCGGTCATCTCATCATTATCGGCCTATCAAACAGAGGCAATGACCTATCTCATGGGCCTTTAAGAGGGTTTGACATTTAATTTAAGGAATGTGATCATACACACAGATTGTGAGGCGTTAACAACAAATCACAACATCTCTTTCTCTACAGAGGCTCATGGAGTCGTATTTAGGTTACGACAATTAGTTTCTTAATTCCATTCGTGTATTCTAGTGAAAGTTAGTAGGAACGGTATTCAGAAATTACATGATTGAGCCTATGCAAAAATGCAATCTAATAGTATAAGTATTTTAATTTAATATACATTTATTCTTTTTTTAAAAAAAGAAGAAGCTATTATATACTAATACAAATAATTATTAATGGAATGAATTGATTTGATATATAATATTTAAATTGAGTTATTTAGATGAAGAGTATGATATGGTGCATCAAATGTAAGAAATATCGTGCCAATAAATAATTCATGAGTAAGTTTTGAAAAGTGAGAGAATGTTATTCTTATTTTTTTAATAGTGGGTAATGATTATTGCTTTTTGAAAAAAAATTTATTCCAAAATTTTTAGGGTTAATATCAAAAACACCCTCGAGGTTTGATCGATTATCTACAACACCTTTACTGTTTGAGAGAATATCAAAGACATCCCGTGACGGTAAGTCCATCATCAAATAAGCCCTCCAACATCGGAAAGACTATGTACAACCATGGCATCAGCACAAAACAGGACTGTGCTGACAATTATATCCTTCATGAAAGACTCCCAAAATTTAATGGAAAATAGACTCCTCAGTTAACCCCAAAAAAAAAAAAAAGAAAAGAAAATAGACTCCTCATCCGGTCCCAAATGGCAAACGGAGAAAAAATGCCTCTTTAATTTTTCTTTTCTATTTTATTCAATAACAAACAAATAGAGGATTTGGATCTTTCTCTCGAAATACAAATTTAATTAAACAAACTAGATAAACAAATAGTGTTCAAACTAAGAACAAAATTTGATAGAGATCACTTAGATTTGGAAGTGAGCTCAAATAGGAAGTAAAAATTCTCAAATCTGTAGATATTTTGAATGATTTTAAGAGCAAAATCAAATAGTTTTGAAGAAAAATTCCCAAACAAAACCGTCATCACCTTTAAACAGTAGTTCCTAATGAAAATCTAAAAAAAACCACCAACAATACCTATCATCTGAATTTTGTTTCACATGAAAAGAAAAAATACAATGACAAACCCTAACTCCAATGAAAATTATTGTACAAAATCGGCCTACAATAATACCTAAACCATAGAAAAATAAATTTTTTTTTACTGTTAGCTCCATTTCGTCGCCATCATCTCCATATGTCGTTGCATAATCAAAGTTGGAGGAGAAACATAAGTCTTCGATGTAAGAGGGCAGAGGTGGGATTGGAAACGAGAGACCAGGGATTGTCGCTAATATCTCCGCCAGATTCCAACCTTCTAAATACTCGGATGAGTTCTCTTCATATTCATGGTTGATTGTGAAGCTTCGAGATGAGCCCTCCAATCGATGTGAGGGGAGTGGGATTGGAGTGATTGGAGGCAGAGGTGGGCGGAGAAATCTGTGGGCTGTGGCCAAGAATTTTTTTAGATAAAGGAGACATAGTTGTCAAGGGATAAAGTTTTAATTTTAATGGGATAAGGGGAGTTTTGAAGGGGTTTTTACAGTTAAGAAAAAAACGTAAAAGCTATCTAGATTTTGGAGGGGTTTTGTTGTCATTTCATCTATTTTACCAGTTGACCTGTGGGTCTTGCCGGTCAAAGGTGGTTTTTGATATTTTGTCAAACAGTAAGGCCGTTTTAGATAATCGATCAAATCTTGAGGGTGTTTTTGATATTAACCTAAGTTTTTAATTTAATTATTTATTAAGGGAATTTAACTCCAAAGTGAGTACTATTATTTGCTTATTTTTGTGCGCAATTCAAGACTTTCAGCCGAAAGCTCAGCCAATCCGAATTATTGTTCCTCCTCCCTTCCCTTCCCTTCCCTTTCGTCAATCCAGGCATGGCGCCCTTTCTCGGCGAACTGAACAAGGAATCGTTCGTAGCCCTTTTGAAAAACCTCATCGGAGAATCAAAGTACGTCCAGAACAACCCGCCAGAATTGATCCCGGAGGAGGACAGAATTGTGAAGCACTTGCTGGAAGTGCTCCTCCCTTTCAGTACCACTACTGGTGGCGGACCGCTGATCATCAACCATGTCGCCTACAAGCCCAACAGAGGAAACCTTATTGTGGAGTATCCCGGAACCGAGCCTAATAAAATCCTTTCCTTCGTTGGCATGCATATGGATGTCGTCACCGCCAACCCTTCTGATTGGGTATGTCCGTAATTTTTTCAGTACACTGGATTAAATGAAATTTCGCTTTTCTAATGAGAAATTTGAGCTGGGATTCATTGAAATTTACTGGGTTTATTTGTGTACAGTATTTGGCAAGTAAGAATACGGAAAATTGATGTCTCTGAATTGAATTGGTATTGATATTACGAACTTTTATCGCCAACTAGAAGTTGAGAATTTGTGTTATTTTTCCTCCTTTTTGTACACGATTCATTATGCATTATTGGTGATCGATCCCTTCTTAGGGTCCAATGATTTGTTTTTGTGGAGTGTGGTTATTTTCAATGTTTAGGGGACAAACCAGCAATGTTGCTAGGATGTAGCATGCTTTTTAACTTTCAATTTATGTCATCTTACTTTGCATAGCCAGAACAGGACATTAGAAAATAGCAGGCAAAAAGGATCTTTTTTGGTAATTTCCTACTTGGGGGCTAATCCATAACTTTAATAAGCAAATCAAAGAAGACGCTCTGCATAAAGTTCCCTTTTCTGCTTTTAAAAGTTCAAAGTTCAAAGTTCTGAAAGTCTTGAATTGTTATTGTGGACTTCAGGGGATATTGGTTTTCTTTGCACTTGTTACTCATTTTGCCAAGGTATAAATCTCACGTTATTTTGTTTCGAAGATTATTGCTTCAACATTCTATTGATGTTATATATGCTCATTTGGCTGCATGGTTATTTGTTTGATCAATGATTAATCTTTGAGGAGATATTATGCAAAAGCAATATTTTCTTTCAGTAGTTATGTACAGTTTGAATAGATCATATTTTGGAGATGCGTTTCCGTGTAGTCATGATATCTTTTCATCAGGAATTTGATCCTTTTTCACTGAGCATTGATGGAGATAAACTTCGTGGACGTGGAACTACTGATTGCCTCGGGCATGTTGCTCTTGTTGCTGAACTTATGAAGAAACTAGGAGAGACAAAACCAAAATTGCAGTCCACTGTTGTTGCTGTCTTTATTGCCAGTGAAGAGAACTCGTCTATTCCTGGGGTTGGTGTGGATGCGTTGGTGAAGGATGGACTGCTTGATAAGTTAAAACATGGCCCTTTGTGAGTATTATGCATCCTTTTTGACCACTTAAAACTCTGTCTGAACAACTTCTAAAAGACTGTTGGCATGTTCCTAGAATACTGCGCAACTTGAGTAATGGCCTCTACTTTCATAGGTTTTGGATTGATACAGCAGATAAACAGCCTTGCATAGGCACGGGCGGTATGATACCATGGAAGATCCATGTCACGGGAAAGCTTTTCCACAGTGGTCTGGCCCATAAGGTACTTTATATTCTCTCTGCTCTTCAAGATCAAAATGCTCAATTCTTTTGTAATTGTAACCTATTATTTACGTTATTTTGTGCAAGGTTCTTCTGTCCTGTTCTTGTTTATTGTTCTTTAGAATGTTAATTTGAGGCATCAGGGATACTTAAATAAATTGGAGACATGAAACTAAACCTTCTATGCTTGAATGCAAAAATATGCACGAGTTCCGAAAGGACACTAGTTTTTCCCAATGAATTGCGACATGAAACTAAACCTTTTATGCTTGAATGCAAAAATTTGCATGAGTGTCTTTCCCAGTGAATTGCATGCACAATACTCTTCCTTGTATGATATATTTTTCTGTCAGCTCTTTATGATATGCTTTTCTGTCAGTTCTTTGACCAAATGGTTGATAGTTGAAGAGTGTCTTGTCTCTGGATGAACAAATATGGGCGGACTGCTTGACTGCTATGTGTGCTGAAATTGGAATACTGCTGAACACATGATGTGCCAACTGCTGATTGAATATGCTTCGACTATACGTTGTTTCTGTTTAATTTCTTAATGTAAATATTTGCAGGCTATTAATCCTTTGGAGCTAGCAATGGAAGCACTAAAAGAGATCCAGTCACGGTTCTACAAGGATTTCCCACCTCATCCTAAGGAAAAAGTTTATGGATTTGCAACACCATCAACAATGAAGCCGACACAATGGTCTTGTAAGTTCTTCAGCTTATTACGAAGAAACCAGAGGATATCCAGTAACCCCTTTTGCATTATGTTAGCCACTTGAATTTGCTGATGAATATTTTCACTACAGATCCAGGGGGTGGGATCAATCAAATTCCAGCCGAATGTACAATCTCAGGGGATGTGAGGTTAATTTTCTGCACGTCAAGTATCTTATTAAGATCAGTTTTGGTATATCGATCTAACCACACACCTCTAATTTTGCAGGTTGACTCCATTTTACAGGTATAAATTTGTTTTTTTTTTTAGCTTTTCTCCTTATTCCTCTTTTATAAAAGTATCCTGATGCCCCTAATGGCTTTTCTATTTTAAGCTTTCTTCATCAGGTTTTTCAGTTTTACCATTTACTTTGAGATGTATTTTCAAGCACAAGTTTTTTGATGGTTTGCTATTTCCAGTGTATCAGATGTTTTGAAGAAATTACAAGAATATGTTGAAGATTTAAATCAAAACATAGAAGTACTTGATTCTCGGGGTCCTGTATCTAAATATGTCCTACCAGATGAAAATCTCAGGGGAAGGTATGTCTTTAACGAATTGAGATGTTGTAGTGATAACATTCAGACAAAATTTTGTAGATGAGTAGCTTTTAAATTGAGAACTTGTGGATGAATAGCCCTTATGTTGACAAACCGTAAATTCCACCTGGGTGTTGACCAACATGGCTCCCTTGTTTTCTTTGAATTTACCTTGAAAGGTTGCCTTCCTGTTTTTAAGAAGTAAGCAGGATATTATCTAGGAACTTCAAATTTTCAAATAAAATAACAATAAAAAAGAAAGAGTTCAAAATTCCGGGCAAGTTTTCCATGGAACTCTGGATGGTTTGTTGTAAGCTTTGATAAATTATGGATACTCTCCAAGAGGAGATAGAACTGTTATTTTCGTATCTTATAAAAGGAATAATGCGCTGGAGGAAATGAATGGATTTCGAAACTAGTAGATATAGATGTAGCGGAGAGCGCTTTGTCTTGTATATAGAGTGTGTTGATCAATGTGAATAAGCACCAAGAGGCAGTTTTTTTTTCCTTTGTGATTTTACTGGCACTTGAAGTTGATGTATATATTTCCTTCAATCAGAATAACAATAAGTTTTGATGAGGCGAGTTCTGGAGTTGCTTGTAATCTTGAATCCCCTGGCTTTCGTGTACTGTGCAAAGCCACTGAAGAAACAGTCGGGCATGTAAAGCCTTACTCTATTACTGGTACCTTGCCATTGATAAGGGAATTGCAGGTAAAGCACTTTTCTTGATGTTTTCTTGTTTCTTTTTAATAACGGTTACTGTTCTCATCGTGTGGAGTTGCAGGACGAGGGCTTTGATGTTCAAACTGCCGGCTACGGTAAGAGGCTCCTGCTACTTAATGGTCTACTAACTGTAGTTTCAGCAGTAATTCTTAACTCACTGAGTTTTGTTTTTCCAATGCCACAGGCTTAATGGCTACCTACCATGCTAAGAACGAGTATTGCCTTCTATCTGATATGTGCCAAGGCTATCAAGTCTTTACCAGTATCATCTCACAATTAGAAGACTACTGATAGTCACAGGCTGCAAGATATTAATAAATCTTAACCACCGCACATATGACGAAGAGAAAGACAATCCCTACCCACCTCTGTTTGAATGTATTGAGGTCTTGGAGACGCTTAGAGTCATCATATTTCTAGGGTCAGGCAACAGAACTCGCGGTGGTTTTTGATGGAGTCATTAGCCGATAGAACCCATGATGAGTCATTTGTCAGCTCTCTTTTGAAGTTCTGCATACAGACTAATGAATAGATTCCTGCATAAACACTTTTTCTAAAGTAGCAATCATATTAATCTGCTTCTTCTCCAGAAAGGGAAATGCGCGTGCCAGAGACACCAATTGTAGTTGTTTGATTTAGTACCTTAACCGATTCTCCTATTTTTGGCAATGCATTACATTCTTTGGTTCTTTATTTCTTGTTTTAGTTTGTTCCATTTTAAATTTTCCCGGGCAATTGTTCTGATCATCCGTAATACATAATCCAGAATGAGTAGATAAAAAGTAATTTGACAAGTCTCTCAAATACTGTCTGGCCAGAATGATGAGTTCAGTAGCAACTTAATTCAACTAGGGACTCTGTCACAAAACAAGAGGCCTGCATCTATGTCAAATACAAGGCTGCCCAGAATGATGCGTCCTCCATAGTTTTTTTTTTTTGAAAACTGCGTCCTCCATAGTTGATAGTAGCTGAGCTGCCTTTAAATTAGACCTTAGTGTAATCTGCCCCTTCCCAGAAACGAAAATCAAACAACTTCAAAAAGTGAAATGTACTTGTTCTTTGTTCCAGTATCCCTTAAATATACAAGTTTCCTTAACCTACTTGATCCAAAAGGCAATAAACTAAACATTTACAGGCGATTTCAGGATATTTTTGTTTGGATTTTATCAAAAACAAGTATATGGATCTTATGATTGACTTTACATGTAAGACTAAAGGTCGTAAAGGACTCTAATCAGATATACAAGTTTCCGCACTAAGTATCTATCTATATGCTGTTTCAATGTGACTCACATTTTTCGTGAACTTTTCTCTTCTAGTTTGAGCTGTTGAACTCTTTGACGTAACTTTCTTCGATGTTCATTTATTTTCCAAAGGCCGTGTCCCAAGATCACGGCAGAGTAGATTCCATGAGTGAGGATGGGAGCGAAAATGTTATTTGTCTGTCACAGGCATGGAAGAAACAATAATGTCAGTCATTTTCTATAACTCAAAAACTAGTTCACCAGACGGTAAAATTGAAGGACTGAATTACCTGAATCCACTCGAATCCTAGGTAAAGAGCAAGAATTGCTTCCAGTAAGGGTGAATAGATCTTTTTCATCTGCCTCCTCTCGTACCAGGCTGTCCCATGTTTAATATCGTCAATTGACATTCATAGTCCAGTGTGAAACCAAAGTACTTAAAAGCAATTGCAATGAAGCAATCAAGGATTGTTTGCTCCAGAGTTAAGTGATGAAAAAATGTAGTAAACTCCAGAGTCATAGTATATAGAAAAAGGTCAGGACACTAGATTTGAGAGTGAGATTGCAATGATAAATGCCAGATTGAGAAGTTTCAGTTTCTTTTGAGAGAGTATCCGATTCACCAGAAAAGCTTATTGCTAAGGTATTCACCCATATTGGTGCAGATTCACGATCAAGTGTTATGACATTAATTTTAGCCTCTGAGAAGTGGCTATTTTCTAATTTGTGTCCAGACTGTAACATGTCATATTATAGAATTTTGGATGCCATTGTGCGGAAATGAACAGTAAGGTCATGTGCGAAAATGACACAACACGCTTTACAAGAAAACAAGAGGCATACCTGCAAACAACTTCTTTAGGTCTTCACGTCCAGAACGAGATCGTAGCACTGGTGCAATGACGTAAGTGGGATCTGAAGGAAACACATGCAGTTTGCATGTCAACAGGGAAATGAAAGAACAGAAGTTCATAGGAATGTTTTCTGTGACGAAACTTGCAACGTACCTTTAGGAGACGCAGCAACATAATACAGAGAACCTGTAAGAGCAGCTGTTATGACTGCAGCAAATGCCTGAGCGAATGGGACAAATGGTGGAAGCACACCAGCCTGTATTCAACAAATTGAAGCTATGAAGCTAAAACACTACTTTAAGTGAGTAACAGCAGGTATTAAAAGAAAACTTTACCACTGATGCCATTCCACGAGCATCTGCCACCAAATCAGTGCCCCTTAAAAATATATCAGCCAAGGCTCCCTACACAATTAAGGCAAACTTAGAGCAAGAGGAAAATGGTTGACAATAGAAGACTGAATCTCCTGAGAACCTACAAGGTCGAAGTTATGAAAAGAGTACCAATCCATATTGTTCTATGCAGACTCACAGAAGAAAAGGACTATAAACTATATAAAATGGTTTAGGCATTATTCTCCCTTAGGGGAAAAAAAAACAAAAAACAAAAAAACCAAAAAAAAAAAAAGAAAAAAAAAAAGAAAAAAGAAAAAAAAATGGTTTAGGCATTATTCACACTGCTACATATACTAGTAGCCAGTTTGAAGGACCAATGAATGCCTCCTAAGCAGGTGTAGGTGAGTTCAGCTTAAGAACATTAGTCTGGTCAACCTAAAGTTGAATTTCTGCTATAACACATGTAACTAGTCAAATTGTAAGTACACTCATATTTTTACCCTAAGATTCCAAAAAGTTCTTAGAGGAGACAGTTAGGGACCTGCACAGCAGCACGATAGAAAAGCTCTTCCCCGACAGAGCTTGCAGCAACCATCAAAATAAACTGCAATAGAATCCATTTCATCACTCTACTATTCAAAATATGTATTCCACAAATGAGATCATAGGGAAGTAATACATGATGCATTCATCAAAATTTACCTGCCATGGTGACATGCCGTAAAAGAAGCTTCGTAATTCCTCATCCTCGACATCCCTAATGGCACGTGCATGAGGTGATAACTTCACAACCTCATCCTGCATCAATTAGATCATTGTTACTGCCGAAAAATGTAAACTAAATGAACAGATCAAAAAGTTGCAAGCACAAGGCCTCTCAGACTAGAAAAAACAAGTATCAATTACTACAACTTATATAACGTAAGACAGCATTCATATTTAAGATAATGATTTGAGAACTAATAAAATAAACAGAAAACTAAAAGATAAAGATTCATACATCAAGGATAAAAAGAAGTGCCATAATTGGAGGAGCAGCATATCCCAATCCTTCTACGATCGCGTCAAGGGAAGGGTCAAATCCTCCAGTGCAATCAATCCCAGAAATGGAGCATATAAATCTTCCAGCTAGTGCCATTGCAACATATATCCCTACACCATTATCAAACCACATTTAGAATAACACATAAGCAGGTTTGTTAATATTATGAACTTCGACTTCCAATTGAGAACCCAGGAAGTAAACGCAAGTGAATATTCATGAGAGTCCCTACTGTTGCTACTAGAAATATCACAACGTAATGCTTCATTACTCAAATGGACAGATGTAAGCTCAAGATGTCTACGATAAAAAGCACATAACGTTCAAAAATTACACAGGAATAACAATCTTTGTTGCACTCGAACACAGTAATACCATTCTCTTTACTTCTTTCCAGATTCTGCAACATAAACTTTTTTCTCTCTGAATCCAATATTTAGACTACTTGCGCAAAAATTCAAGCACTCGTATCTTTACTCGATGATAAATGAACAAATAAAATTACATATATTTCAGTTAAACGCTGAAAACAAGGAAAGATAGTAGAAGCTTTGGTGAAATCGCCATGTATTTCCGCAGAAACTCCATTTTGTGACCTAAAAATAAAATTAAATTGAAACATCATCCGATTTTTATTTCAGTTTCTTTTTAGCTGTAATGAAGATTAAAAAAGCTCACCAATTCCATAACTGAGCCTAACCACCGCTCCAATCTTCTCCCAAACCGGAAACTCCGTTTCACGCGCGAAGCTCTGATTGAACGAAGTCACCTCCATAGCTGAGCTGGAGGTGAAACGGCCAGCAGCGCTGCTCTCTCTTTCAGCTCCACCTTCCACCGCCTCCCGCCCGCCGCCGCTCTCCGCCATAGCATTGACCCTCACCACTCTAACCTGAGCTCCCCTGACCATATCCAATTTCTTCCTCTTCCTTCTCTTCATACTCACACCTGTCAAGTCACGTAAACTAACTCCACATTTACACCCCTGAAACGTCGTCGTCGCCGCCGAGCTCAGAGCCCGAAATGTCAACGGGAACTCCATATACATTATATATAATTTAGTTAGACTATTCTAACAAACTTCCTTTCAAAACCAAAACAATCGTAAGCTTAGCTTTTTGCTTAAACGACTGAGTTCAATAAAAAAACGACGAGTTACTGAAGCTTAGCTCCGTCGTCTCCGGGGACGATGTCGGAATTTTTCTGAATCGCACGATCGGGTTGGAGCATGATGGTGCTGAGGAGGAATTTTGCAGCGAAGTAAAAAATAAAATTGATTGATTAATTAGGAACCGTCGGTTTATTTGAAAGCGGGGCCAGGAAAAGTCAACAACGTAAGTTTTGATTGATGGTGAGAGGGAATGAACGGTGGGGATGCAAAATGGGTGGATACTGAACCGCTCATGGTGGATATTTTGAGTATAATATCTAAGTAGCCAATGAGATGTTGCCACGTCCAGATAAGCTTTTGCCAAGTAGGACAATAGCGGTGGGTGATTAAGGTGATTGGGTTCGTTTTCGCTTTCTTGCGTAATCTAAAAGATGATGGCTTATTGTTAACATGTTGATGAGTAATCTACTCATGTAATGCAGATAGTACATCTTCCTATTGTAACTTTCGGATCTTAGGCTTTTGCCTCCCCGTAATAATTGAGTTAATCAATTAAAAAATAAAATTTTTTAAAAAAACTTTGGACGTAGGCAATGAATGAATGCAATATAGAGTACTAATATATCCATGTAACGATAATCGAAATATTGTTTATATTAAGATTTTTTTGAACTTGAAAACAAGCAGAGTAACACTTATATACCATATCAAAAAATGGTACCAATATATAAGTGTGATGTGCTAGCTACTCCACATATTAGTCATTACAACTTAATTTTGATGTAGAACCATGGTCTTATATGAAACTTCAATCATTTTTTGAAAATGATATAGACGGTTACATATGATGAATCAAAAAACGTACGCTGCTTGGGATAAGTACATGTTTTATTGAATTTTAGAATCAAGAAGACCTCTAAAACCATCCCAAAGTAAAAAAAAAAATAAAAAAAATAAAAAATTGGATGGATGTGATTTAATTCGCATTATTTTTTCTCACTTTTCTTAAATTATATACATTGTTATGTGAATGTATTCTTATTTTTAAACTATTGCCCGCAAGATTATAAAAAGAAATTTGATTATGAAAAGGAAAATAGGAGTATAGAAAATTAATGCGAATTACTGGCAAACTTTTATATATAATAAGTTTGATTACGAAACTTAGATTGATTCTGTAAGTTATTTTGATGTACTAACTACTAAGAGAAAGTTGAAAGTGGTAGAAAGTGATAATTCATTCAAAAATTAATCATCATTCATCTAAACAATGAAATCTCTAACACCGGGAAAAGAGAAAATTATAAGAAAGTCACTGAATTTCAATGTTCATTACAAAACTTGCATAAGCATATTATTAAGGAAATCTCAAACATTAAGGCATCAAAATGAATAGGAATGCTTATTACTCATATTAGGATTAACATTTGTTGACATCGAGATACATATTTTTGTACTGCAAATCGACAGTGACCCGAGTTCCCGTCAACTGAACATTTCCAATGAGCGCAAAACTATGTTCTTTCTCTTGCGGAGCAAACGCAAGGCAGTATATTCCCGCATGATAATTATCCACAGGCACAAATATTTGCTCCGCATTTAAGGACAGAATCTGTTTCGGCTCGCCTGAACTTCCAAGGAAGATGAATGTCACGGCCGGAATATTCAGGGTAGTTATATCACGGCTACCGATTTTATAACAAGTGTCAAGACGACCATGTCGCGTTGAAGGCAAGCTGAAACTACTCCTTAAAATGTTCCGAAACCTGTAGTAAAGATTCGGAGGGAGCCATGTAAGTCTTGTTCCCGAATCAACAACGGCTCTAATATACCTATCTTGAGGAGGGTTGGGGTTAGCTTTCGCGTATTGATTCCCAACAGTAATCCCCACGAGTTGGGCAGAATAGGATGTTTCCCAGGATAAATAAAGGGGTAGTTTAAGTGTGGTTTGGCTTCGGAATATTAAGGTGTTTAGGAACATTGGATTGGATAGAAATGTGGGCGCAAGACAATAGCTGAAAGATGTGGCTTTGTATTGACTTGGGAAGGATAGCGCGCCCCGGCCGAATCCCATGATTCCGGTGAACTTGTGGTTCGTGAACTGCTTTGGTCCGGCGTCCGAGCATCCGAACTTCAAATCCTCGATGAGGGTTCCACCGTTGGTAGTGATTCTATCGTGTGCCATGAAACCTTCAGCTCTCGTTCCATCAATATAGTCCACTCCGAACACGCATTTTCTACTGAACCAACTCGACGAACACTTTAACCCCAAGCGGTTAGGGCAATCATTTGAATCTCCACAATTGACTTGCTTGAAGGTTGATGATTTGGAAGGGTCGAAACTATTAGCCGGGCAGTTTTTGCACGGTTTGCAATCCCACCATATGAGGTTTGAACCCGTATCTACTATCCAAACATCGGTTTGTGGAGGAGTTCCAACTTGCAAGGTCGTTGCATATACTCCTTCCACAAAGCCTACAAGAAGTTCCACGAAATTTTGATGAATTCCGGATGAATTAACTTCAATAAAGGAAGCCATCCAGGCGGCTCTTTTTGCGTCTTTGGCTAAGGTTGATACCATTAGGGTGCGGTAATCTTTGTAGTTTGATTTCAAGAAAAGGTTTACATCATATAGAGGAATGCTGAGAGTTTGATTGCTATGTAACTCAGAATCAATGGGTGATACTTGTGGTGGATTTTTAAGCAATTGGGTTGCATCAAAAGCCATGAAATTTCTAATGGATTTCATTGTTGCGTTGTGATTTAGGGTGACTGTTAGAGGGAGATTTGGCAAAGATGATGACATGCATTTTGCTGGTATATATATTGTGGGTAAAATGAAGAGGGATAGATGGAAGAAGAGGAAGATATATGAGTGTTCCATGATTTTCCAATGTTTTTTTACTTTTTTTTCTTCCTCCAACTCGTCGATCCTCAGCTATATATACAAATGGATAATCAACATTTAGAGGCAGCTATAAACAAAGACAAAGAGGAAAAAAACTAAACATTGATATTTGCATATCCACTCTCATTGATTAATATTCTTAGTTTTATTAGTTACATTCATGTACGTATAAATTATCAAAACACATATTGGAAACGAAATCCATTTTTTATTAATTTGATTCATGTATTAGACATATACGCATTTCTATTGATACTATTTAATTACAAAGATTTGACAGTTATTTATAGATGAAATTAACGTAAGTGTTAGTTTTTGAGATTAGTTGTACATGCTTGTATACAGTCTGTTAATTGATAATTAAAATCTTTACTCTTTTTTGTGTTTTGGTTATATTTATGAGAATCCGAAATGACTGCTCTTTTGCAGAAGACAAAGTTCTCACAATTTGTCCATTCAATTAGTTTCATGAACTGAATAAACTTTCATCCGCCATTGGTACCATCTCTGTGACCGAATATATATATATATAGATAAATATATATATATATATATATATAATAAAGGATTTACGGGAATAAAATCAATGACTATACATAAACATTTGTTTACAATTTTGAAACAAATAAATGAACTCTTAAAATTAAAATTACAAACATGATTTTTCGATCGGTATTTCTCCACTATAAGTCTATTAATTTCGAGTTATTTTAAGTCATTTAAAGTTTCACCTATAGGAAATTTTTGGCTATTAATAGCTTAGAGAAGGTCTTTAAAAAAATATGTTATACACTATCGCTACAGACTCTCTCTTTAATTTCCTGTTTGAAACTTTGTGAAATTTTATTTGCAGCATAAATATCACTTTAATTTTAGGTAATGATTTTGATATTGTTACCCTTTTTTAAAAATCAATTAATATTGTTACTCTATGAAGGGAACTGTCTTCCATTTCCTTATTCCACGAAGCATAGACTGTGGATAAGAAACTATAGCAATGTGTGTCGCCCCCATGAAAATAAGGACATGTAAGGCCGGCGTCTCAAATCCCCAAAAGAGTTTATATTGCCTCTTAAACCAATATCCCAAGAGAAAAAGAATTTTACGCACAACATTTTAACTTATGTATTAAATTTATCTTAAACATTATTTTACATATTTCTTTTTAGCACAACCATCAGACTGTATATCCTTCACACGCCATCTGACGCAGCCAAACTACTACTACCCACTGCCGAGATCCTGACCTCCGGCAGGCGGTGGAACGACAGGACGGGTGGTGGCGGGTGGCACGGTAATTGTAGAAAAAGATATTATTCAATTTTAAAAACTATTTATATAACATTTCGAATTTTCACTCAAAACACATTTTAAACAATATTACAAATCTAAAATAAAATTAAAAAACGCTATCTATACGAATCTGAATAATTATTAATAAAATTTGGCGCATGCTGCAGTTGCACTGTTGCACCACTCCCTCAAATTTGCCGCCAACTGACCAAAAGCTCTACCCATTTCTCTTATTAGTGCCGGAAACCATTTTCTGTTGAAGCCCAATTCTTTCGTTCATGACGAGTATTAATTGCAGCAGAGATTCAATTCGTATTAGATAGAATGAACTACGAAATTCAAAAGGCTGGAATATGATATTTATCTTTGCTTGCGGCAATTTTCCATTTTCACTTGTGGCCATTTAATTAATTAATTTATTTTACTGTAATCACAGCAGCTATAAGACTATTTCAAACACCAACTTTCTTACAAAATCAACGTAAAAAAGTAAATGATCTATATATATTGAGCCAGATATCAGTACTCCTTCATATGTTCTGTTTATTACAATCAATTGGAATACTTAAAAGCTGGTATTCATTTCTTTTGTAAAACCTCTATGGATTATAAGAGTAAATCACGGAGAGTGGTTGCCTTGTGTTTCAGCAAATACAGTGCCATATAAGGAGGAGGGCAAGGGCAATAGAGACATAGGCAACAAGATTTGCGTCACGCCGGCGGCAAATGGCAGCAACAAGATTCCGGGTAGACATTGTCCGGGATGGACCTCGAAATAAGTTCTTGAGTAGAGAATTGTTGGGATGGGCTCTTAACTATGTGTCCAATGCAAAGGACAAATAGCCCATGTTTCTGGCCCAACTCTTGTTATGTCATCAGCCAACCTTGAGTCCACTATAAGAGAGTAAAATGCAGCCAAAATGGAAGGTGTGTGTGAGTTGTATTTTATGAGAAAACAGAACCAAAAGAGAGAGGGAACTGAAAATTCCAGTAATGGTTCCACTGTAGCAGCATCTGAAATCTTCAAGTTTGGAGGGGCAATCTTTGTCCGTTGGTTCTGAAATTTGGACTGGAGGTACAAAACTCATCAATCTTCATTTCCATCAAAGGATTTTGGTGTTCGTCGGATAGATAATGAGTATTGTACTTTTGAAGTTGCTGCTGGTTTTGTGGATGTTTAGTTGATTCTTTGATCTTGTATTAATATTCTAGTGCCTTTGTAGCTTGGTTTAGCTTGGGTGAGGACTAGATATCTTTGTTATATTGTTAGATTGGTTTACTTCTACTCTTATTTGGTGATAGTGGATTTGATAGGCCTTTTTGGTCTCGTGGTTTTTACTCCTTCACACCGAAGGGGGTTTTCCACTTAAATTGGTTTTATGTGTTGTTTTTGCTTTCTTGCTGTTTCATTGGTAGCTTTACTTCCACTTGGTGTGGTTGGTATTTTTGGCTCCTACTAAATTTCTACTAGATTCTTGGAAATTGGGGAGGCCTTGATTTGTTTCCGCTGTGCTTAAACTAGCTCGTGTTTGATTAGCTAGTTTGGTTTACCATATTTGGTCCTCCCCTCCCAACAAGGAGGAGGATCTTGCTCCCGTGAATGGAGAAATCAACATCGGAAAGATTACCATGACGAAGAGCAGGATTGTCGCCAAAGGAGACCGAATACAAGAACAGTTGAACGCCATCATGCCGTTGAATTTATTTGATTCCTTCAAACATAATCGAGTTCCAATTGTCAAAAACATTCTCATTTCAATGATACTTGGCTATTTCTCCAGGTCTCTTTGACCTCAGCTATATATTTATAAATGGCTAATAAATATTTAGAAGCACCTATTTGATAACTAAGAGAGGAAAAACTAAACATTGATTATTGCATATCCAATTGTTGATAAATTTTGCTATTTTATTAGTTTGATTCATGCATGTATGAAATGATATTTAAACCTCCTGATCTGAGAATATCTTTTCTATTAATTTGGTTTATGTAGTAAACCTACATACGTTTCTATTTATACTAACTAATTGCTAGAATTTGACAGTCATGAATAAGATGAAACGTATTAGATATTAGGATTAGTTGTATATACAATCATGTAATTGATGATTAAAATTTCCATTTTAATGTTATTATTTCTTCGTTTTGTGTAGTACGCACACAGTGTATCTGAAACCTCTGCTCTCCCTTCACAAAGTAGTCACAATTTGTCTATTCAATTAGTTCCATGAATTGATAAACTTTCATCCTTTGTATGATGATCGTATTAATTATCTGTAAAACATATAAACATATATGGTAAAGGATTGATGCAAAATATTTAAATTAATGGCTATACATGTTTGTTGAAAATTTTGAAACAAATACACGAATTCTTTTCTTAACGAGGGAAATAGTTGTGTTTGTTGGTGTAGACGGAGATCATGAGTTTTCTTTAATCCAGCGCTGAGCATAAAATCGGGTCGGTTGATATATAGGATAAAAGCTTTGGGATGGAAAAGATTTTGGTGACTGGAGTTCATATTAATTTGATGCACAATCATCAAGTTGAACTTGAGAAAATGATGGAAGAGAATGAAGTCTGTCAGTGAGCTTGTAAGGTACTTGTCAAAATTCACGGCAACTGATCAACTGATCACCGGAAGATTTATTTGCATCAATTTGTATTTGTTTCGATGTTACCTAGCTTGTAGTATATAAAAAGTAAAGACCTCTGTAAGAATTTACAGCTTAAGTACTAAATATGATTATGAAACTTAGATTTATTGTATTTTAGTCACTCTCTCTGTCCAAGAATAGTCGCCTTATAATATTGTGTTATTTCAACAAATTAAAGTGGGAGCGTTAACTTAGTACTAAGAGCATGTTTTAGTCGTCCTTCTCTCTAAAAAGTTCTAGTGAGAGAATGTCTTGTTTTTCTCCCAAATAGAGGAAAACATCTTCACGACACTAATACCCAAACCTTCATCAATTACTCAATTTTCACTGTTTAAATTACTTCCTTATAATTATCACCACCTTGTTTCTTTAAATCTATGTTTACTCTTCATTTTCATAAAAAACAACAAGCACTTGAGTGTTTCACCCGTTTTTTTAAGCCAATGTATTCTACCCCTTTGTAAAACCAAGAACCACTTTCTGATCTAGCACTTGGTTTTTACTAATACCATCATCCATTTCTCAGTTTAGGTACACTGATCCCGCCTTTCGAATGACCCTCTTGTCATTTGGAAGCTATGCAAATTGCTGTCACTTCCTTCCAAATTTTATAATCCCAAATTTATCAGATGTGGTTTCAAGCTGGTTTAATGACCAATTTCTTCTTTTTATTCTACCTCTCTGTCTTCTTCAACTTCTTTACCTCTTGTCTCGAGCTCCCAAATCACTTTCCAACTTCCAAGTAACTTTCATTTTCTAGATTTGCAACAGTAAAGGCTCTTGCCTTTCTAGTTTGTTTTTCAAAGCTTTTTCCGCTTTATTCTATCCTCCAAACATTTATTCCTTTTCATTTCCCTGTTGTCCTTTTCATTCTCCCTATCCTTTTCTTCATAAATCCAAAAACTACAAACATTCCTTAGATTCTCTATGGTCCTTCCTTGAATATTATAGTAGATCTGACTTGGAGTTTTGTCTGGTTCTTTCCTGCTTTACTACTTTTGCTTCCAATCATGAATTATCGACATGCATTGGATGAAAATTCTGTTACGACCATGTCTATCCAAGGGTCAAATTTTTCTGAGGAGCATCACAGTACTTACCCTGGGCTAGATATTGATCCACATCTTGTACCATGCCCTTACTTGAGGACAAGTAACATGCAGTTGACGGATTATCAGACGGAGCTCTCTAGGGATAATCTCAAGCTGTCCCTCCTTGAATATGTGATTGATGATGTGGAAGTCACAAATGAGGCTATGTCACAGTACATGTACAAGAACTGGCCCATCTACTCTAGAGTTCTCCATTATGACAGGATTTTTTGTCATCAAGTTCGCTAGCAGATCTGATATGTTAGCAATTCTGGATAATGGGCCATATGCTATCAATGGTGGTCTATTAATCCTTTGACGGTGTTATGATCATGATGATTTGGCGCTAGACAGCATACGCATTGAAAAGCTCAGCATCTAGGTGCGCATGCATGGCGTTCCCATCACTTCAATGAACTATAGATCCCTTCATGACTTAGCTAGCTGGGCTGGTGAGGTTGCTTGCATCAAACAGGACTGTGTTTCTCTGAGAAAAATCACATATGTTAGGGCAACGGTTTGGATTAAACCAAGTGATCCCCGAACTCCTCTCTTATATTTTACAAAGCGTAATGGCAAGATGGCAAAAATCCGATGTAAGTATGAGCACATGCATAAGTATTGCCAAAAATGTGGTCGTTTGGGTCACCCTCTCAATCGCTGCTATATGATGGAAGATCAGGAACTGGAGAACTTTCTGAATGCTTTCTTTTTGGCAAAGGCTGCAAAGTTTGACTCTCTGTTGCTTGTTGATGTGAATCAACCCGTCTATACTGGATCTCTCAGGGCACATACCCATAAGAAGAAACGCGGCACAAGGCTCCCTGATTATAAAGTGGAGGATATGGCTTATTACTATGCTACTGTTCCTGATCATTACATTGAGGATGGATTCACCATCTCTGAAGTTGAAGATGGGGAGCCTATGCCTTGGTCTCCCCCTCAGCCAGATAATGATAATAATGATCTTGATGATGATTCATCAGATCAAGATGGGTCTGATGATGATGAAGATGATGACATGGATTCTGATGGTAATGATGGACTGAATGAGGAGGACGACTTGGCCGACATGAACGTTGACAACTTTGTTGATGATAATGGCCCCCATGTTCCTTTGTCAAGGCAGTTCAACCTGAATCTGGATTTTGCTTTTGATCCATCCAGAATGGATGTTCCTGCTACTGCAAATGGTGTGTTTTCGAAAACTTCCAGTGATCAAGGTGATAGCTTTCATTCTGTCTGCTTCTCATGAAAACTCTGATAATTTTGATTCGGATGATACTTCTACTTTTCATATGTCGGTTTCCTTTTATGAGATACCTGATGTTCCACCCTCTGAGGCCATGATGGCTGACCCTTCCTATGTCCCTGATTTTATTGTTCCTAATGTACTTGATTATGCACCAACTAGAACTGTCTTTCCAATCTCTATATTCCATGGTTTCTATTCCAGCCCTGATGTTAGTGACAGTGCTGATGGTAGTTTGGTACGGAATGCTAGAATAGTCAATAGGACTAGGAATTTTGCAGATACTGCTTCTGATTCTTCTGAGGATTCTAAGTCCTCTAGCAGCTCTGTGGTTCTTATTTCCAAGCAATGTAGGGTTTCTTTCAAGAAGTCTGGGTCCCGTAGGCGTTTCCCGTCTGTTTCAACACTGACTCAGTTCCAAGAAGATCCCCAGTTGATTGATACTGATGAGGAAGATTTCTTCATGAGTGCTAGACGAGCTGTGTCTGAAGCAGACATTCCACAATCTCCATAGAACTCTGTTGGAAGGTCTAATGGCTCCCAATTTCAATCTGGTTGGCGGATGTGGATCCTAGATGAAGATGTTAACCTTTCTGATGACTCTGTTGCATCTGATGCTTCTTCAGGCAGTCAGAAAAGAAGTTCTGAGGACTCTGAAGAAGAGCAAGAAAGACCTGGTAAGAAACAGGCTAACAGTGCAGTTGAGAAAGAGGTTGAAGACCTGTTTAAGGCTTTGGACACTGCTTGGATAATGCCTGAAGCTGAGATGATGGAGGATGATGCTGAGGTCCAACAATCTGGCCAGTAGCTTGCAAGTTTGGTGCCTTCCATGCTTCCTGGACATGAAACCACGCTCCCAATACACGTTATGAGAGTCAATGAGGAAGTTTCTGTTGAAGGTAATAAGCTGAATGGTTTTGCAGGTGGTTGAACCAGATCAACCGCCTCTGTTTCTATGAATATACTCTGTTGGAATATTCGAGGCATGAACGATGTCTCATCTAAGCATGTATTAGGTAGACTATTACGAAGTTATAAGCCTGGTATCTTATTTGTTATGGAAACTAAGGACGGTAAGGACAATATTTTGGATTGACAACAATCTACTTCTTTTGCAAATTCGGCTGTAATAGATTCTGTTGGTCTTAGTAGGGGATTAGCTCTCTTTTGGACTAATAGTGTTAATCTCAGTATTCTCTATCAGAATTCTAATGTAATAGTTGCTAGGATTCATAAACAATCAGGCCTTGAATGGTTGGTCATCTTCTTGTACGGTCCTCCTTCATTTCATGATAGGGCCGAATTTTGGTCACAGTTGAATGGAATCATTCAGTGTTTTAGTTATCCTAGTCTTATGTTGTGATTTTAATATGGTTTTAGACCAAGAAGATAAGCATGGAGGTAGGAAAGTAAGGCCTCAAGATACTGGGGCAATACGTCAGTTACTGGATGCTAATGATCTTGAAGAGTTAAAGCATCTTGGGTGTTGGTATACCTGGACGAATAAGCGCCAAGGACAGGCAATGATCTTTGAAAGGTTAGACCGTGCCTTTGTAAATAAGACTTGGTTGGACACATTCAAGAAGGCAGTGATTAGGAATTTACTTATAATGAGTTCAGATCATGGACCGATTTTGGTAGAACTAAAACAAAAACATCTACCAAAAAAGGGTTATAGGTTTGAACAATTTTGGTCCAAATGTGCTTCCTCTAAGGATAAGGTACATCAAGCCTCGTCACAACCTTCGGGGTATATTAAAGATCATCAGCAAGATCTTTCCTTTAAACTGCACAAGACTTTAAACACTTAAACCAATGGAGCAAATCAAGGTTTGGATATTTAGATCAAATGGTTTTCAGTCTCACAGAAGATTTGGCAAAGGTACATCTCAATGGGAGGCACACAAAGAAGATGGTAATCTATCCACTCAGTTAGAGCAACGTCGTTTGGCTTTGGAGGGGGCTCTTCTTTTGCAACAAGAATATTGGCATTAGAGAGCAAAGTTAAACTGGAACCAGTTTGGAGATAGGAATACAAAGTTTTTCCATAAATGGGTGACTAGAAGAAAAGGTAACACTTAGATTAATGAGCTTCAAGACGCACAAGGAAACTGGATTCAAGATCAAGATTCCTTACGTTCCATGATAAATGAACATTTCTCTAGCATTTATCGAGCTAGAGATGCGCCTTCCAAAAGTTGGCCATCCTCAATTCATTTTCAAAGTTTCCTGAGCAATGTGGAGGAAGTATTAACTACTAACCAAGCTGCTGCCCTGGATGCTCCTTTCACAGCAAATGAGGTATGGTGTGCTGTAAAACAAATGTCACCATGGAAATCTCCGGGACCGGATGGTATGCCGGCGGGTTTTTATCAGCAATACAGTCATATTGTTGGCCAGGATGTTCAGAATTCCATCCTTGAGGTATTTACTTCCCTTACATTTCCCCCTGAATAGAACCAGACCAAATTGGCACTTCTTCCTAAGGTTCCATCGCCGGTGACTCCCAATGACTACAGGCCTATTAGTATATGTAATGTTAAAATAAAAGATCATGACTAAAATGCTTACTAATCGTCTTAAAGTGGTGATGAATGATTTGATTGATGAGAATCAGAACGGCTTTGTCCCTGGCCGAAACATCCGTGAAAACATCCTCATTGCTCATGAAGTTGTGGAATGTATCAGGAAGAAGAAGGGTCTGACAGGATTAGCTGCAGTAAAGCTTGGCATGAGCAAAGCTTATGATCGTGTCTCATGGTCTTTTCTACAGGCGGTTTTAACCAAGGCCAACTTCCCGCCAAGGATCATCTCATTGATTATGCACCGTGTGTCCTCAGTGTCATACTCCATCCAGTTAATGGTGATAATTTGCAACCTTTCTCTCCAAACAAGGGCTTAAGACAAGGATGCCCCTTATCTCCATACTTATTTATCTTATGTCAACAAGTGCTTTCTTCGGCCATCAAGTCAAAAATCTCTCTTCTTCCAGGACTGGGTATTAAAATATGTCATCTTGCGCCTCGTATCAGTCATCTTATGTATGTGGATGACAATCTCTTCTTCCTGGAATGTAAGGAATCCTCAATATTAGCCCTAGCCGCTCTCTTGGAAAATTATTCTAACTTTTCAGGACAGCGCATCAATTTCCAAAAGTCCTTTATTCTTCTCAGCTCAAACACCAGTCAAGATATGAAGTCATTTATCCATTCAACACTGAAAATCCCAATGGGCCATTTTTAGAGTAAGTACCTAGGTCTCAGCTTGGATTTTTCAGAAAGGAAGACAACAATCTTCTCTCAGTTTACTTCTCGCATGAGTGGTAAATTTGCATCCTGGAAAACGAAGATGTAGACCTTATCTGGGAAAGTCACTTTGGCAAAAGCCACTTTATCTTCTATGCTGGTTTATCCGATGGGCGTATTTCGACTGCCTGCAAAAACACTCCGAAAAGCGGACCAAACCATGGGGCTTTCAAAGGACAGGAAAATTCATTAGCGATCATGGAAAAAAATGGCTACATCAACATTCCATGATGGTCTGAGTCTTAAGGCTACAAAGGAATTTAACAAGGCCTTGTTAGCCAAACATGCTTAGAAGTTAATGTCAACTCCAAACTCTTTGATGGGTCATATATTTGGTGCTAAATATTGCAACAATGGAGTTTTCCCCCCGGCACAGCCACCATCGAATTCCTCTTGGGATTTTAAGAGTATTCTATTGGGGGCAGAATTAATCTAAAATCAGAATAAATGGAAAGTGGTGTCAGGTAAAGACATTCCCATAGCTGCCAACTGGATTCCGGAGGTACAAAATCCAATCAGCCCTCAGTCAGTTCTTGACAAACCGATGTCACACTAGTCACATATAAACTACCTACTTGATACTATACAGGTACTAAAGCAAAAAGTAGGGTCGATCCCACAGAGAAGGTTACCAAGTACCAGGTTAAAATTATTTCTTATTATTATTTAGAAAACTAATAATAATAATTTTAAATTAAACTAAACCTAAAACTAATAATTAAAATTTAATTAATTAAATAAAAGAAAACTTAGGGCAAAGGGTTCACCAAACGACTACTCAGCTTAACTCTATCTATAGATATGTGACTTTGAACTCTCATTAATCTCACGACAATTCACCAATTTTAGAATTATACACTCTCGTGTCATAACCCTCTTACTCAAATTAATCCTATGACTACTCTCGTGACTATAGGGATTAATAAAAGCACATTAAGAACTTTGGAATTACTAGTCGCAAAGGCGGTGTTCCTACTGTCGTGGCTCACTACCTAAGTTTAATATTCCCATGAACTAATGTTAACCTTCAACTGTCGTTCCTTCAGTTAAACACCTTTTAAGCATGCAAGTGATGATCAAATACTAATATGGAATAAAAACAAGAATATTAAATATCAACTAATGAAAAAGTCACAATGATAAATTAAATTAAATTAAATAATACGGCGGCTACATCTAAAATCCTAAATTAAATACTTTAGCTACACATCATCTTAAAAGTAAAAAAATGAAACTCGGGAGTCCGAAGTGGCTTGCTTCCTCCTCCATTGCTGGTGCGTGGATGATGGTGATGGATGGTGGAAGGTTTTTCTTGTTGGTGCATGAGGTTTAGGAAGTTTAATTTGGCAATGGTGCGTGGGTTTGGGTGGAGTTGGAAGGTTTTTTTGGGAGGGGGGTGTTCTTGGTGAGGAGTGGGGGCTGAGGTGATGGAGTAAGGTTTTATGATGATGATGCGTGGGAATGGAGGAGAGGTGGTTGGCGCCGGTGGAGCTTAAGAGAGGTGACAAAGTTGCAGCGGGCGGAGATTCAGTCACGGTGAAAGACGTAGGTATTTTTCGGTGATATTTGGTGCTCTTCTGGTCCCAAAAAATAAAATTCTAACCTCCTTTATATATGCCTTCTCCAACCCTATTTCATGGAGGCTAAGAAAACTTATTTCCCAATTAAAATTGGGATTAAAATTCTTGCCGAAATCCAACTCCAAACAGCTGCACCAACAACTTTTCTCGGCCAAATCATAGGAAGAAAAACAAAAATTGTAATTCAGTCCTCTAAATCTTCAAGTCTTCTGATTTCTTCCTCATTAGTTCTTACAATCTGCATTTAGGCCCTTTTTAGTTGCTCTTTCTTTTCATTTTAGTCCAAAACCTCAACAATTCTTTCATTTGAATACAATTCCTACAATCAAAGATGAAATCATATAAATAGCATATTTGTACTGAAAACATTGGTAAAATCTCACATAAAGGGATATTAAAAATAGATTAATTATATGCACATCAAATACCCCCAAACTTGAAATGTTGCTTGTCCTCAAGCATTTCCAGAAATTAAAACTAACAAAAATATTAAGTTATTTAATTAGACAGACTCAGAGATTTAATATCGTATAACACAAAGACTTCAACTACTTCTAATATGCACTACCTAACCATATGCAAACTTTATACACTTTTAGCCCCCACGCTTGTGTGTGTGTGATTCGCTTCTTAGGGACTTCACTTTACATTCAACACAAATAACATAAGCTCTACTGCACATATGCCATTATTAACAACAGATTCATATTTCACACCATATTCTAATGCAATGAACCTCCAAACATACTATGAAGTAGAAGGTCTTATCTCACATACAACCTATTCTCCCTCGTAACCCATTCTTCGGTCCATAGAGCATTTCTTCAGGACTCTTTCCCATTCAGGCCCTTATCCAGAGCATTTTTTCACTCCTTTGTATAGTGGCTCAGCAACTTAGGGCAGTCTACATATCTATTTTTCCT